GCGTCTGCATGACTCCTGCACGACTTTACAATTCACTTTAAGTTGGTGTTGTCATAGCTAATTAAAAGTGAGGTATTAATCGAAATCTCGCCTAAAAGCTAACTATAAGTTGGTTAGTTTAAACAATTGATAATTTTTCACTGCAGGGTATGTAAAAGCCACAAGAACCCAAATTTTCAACTTCACTCTGCATTTACAGTGAAAGTATGAAAGTTATCCAAAAACCAATTGCAGTAGCGTCCTCAATTTTACTAAGAGCGAATTTTCATTTAAATCCGTCAATAATTCTATTTTTGACCACATTTTATATGTGCTTCCCGTGCGGGTGTTTAATGTTCGGCACCGCCCGAACTTAGACTTTCTTACTTGTTATTTTTTAATATTTTTTAACAGATTAATGAAATGTAATCATTAAGCAAAAGGTTACTACTAAAATAGGGATATCTAAGGCATTTTAAAATTTATGCAGTTCTCGTCTTTTACATGGAATGACCCTAATTCAAATATTGAGTTAACAGTTTATCGCATATTAATGTTTGCTGCAGTATTTTTTTGCGTTGCCAATACACCCTTCGAATATGAGTCAAGTAATGATGAATAGGATGAGTGGTAAGGGGCACGTACTTCGTAGGACCTGGGTTCGATTCATTCCGGGCAACATCTAAATTAGAAATAGATTTTTCTAACAGCGGTCGCCCCTTAGCAACCTCCATGGTAAACCTCCATGTATTACGTTCGTGGCGGCGTAAAACTAGTCCTCCCGATTAGTGTAACAGCACTAAGCAGCATACTATAAATTGGAGGAGAAGCTCGGTCAAACACTTAGCAAAAGGTGTTTTTCACCCTTGTCTAGAATAATTTTTGAGTCCAGCAGGCGGGGTCGGTGTAGACCAAGCGCCTGAAGTCTGCTGGAAGATCTTCCAAAATTCTAGAGTGCCTGAACCTAGCGTCACTCCATTTGATCAACGCGTTTAATCTAATAGAAATACTATTTGCCTGTAGTTTACCATATAAGTCCAGAGATAGCAAATGAAACAATGTCTTAATGGCTTAAGTCGGCGTCGATGGTAAGGCTCCCGTGATCATCGTGGCGTGCACTTTTGAACTTTTGTTGGTTTGTTTCTTATTGTAGATTTATCTACGGAGGACCACCAAACCGTGATATCGTAGAACAGAATGGGATGCTGTGTACATCCAGTTCACAGTGTGAGGCTTCAAGCCCGATTTTTTTCTGTCGCTGATTTAGCAGTTAAAGCTTACTTGGAAAGCTCTTCTTCATTGCGCCACCAAGTTAAATTCCTGTCAAGAATAACGCCCAGATATCTAACTTCATCCGTAAAAGTCAGCGCAATGTCGTTCAAAGAAAGAAGTTGTAGCCGGACAGTTTGCGCTTTCTTTGAAAAAATAACCATGACCGATTTTGCCGGAATGCCACTAAGGCCGGCTTCTTTGTACTAGGTATCCACGACGAGTAAGTCGACTTCAACTTAGTGAAATAGAATTTGGTGGTGTTTACCAACTGCCGTCAGGACAAGATCGTCAGCACCATGCAACCGTGAGAACGGAATATTCACCGTTAAATCCCAAGGGAGTAGGGAAAGACACCGCCTTGCGTGGTGCTGCGGTTTGTATATCTTGTTACGGATACCTCCCCAATCTCCGAATATGTAACACTGCTGCCTAAAAGGTAGCGAACAAATTTTAACGGAGGCATATCCAGCCCAAGGTTAATTAGGGCTTGGAGAACATTATTGAAGGCATCCTCGATATCTAGTAACACGTCCACTGCAAATTTTTTAAAGGCGAGTGCGTTTTCGATGGTGCTAAATATGGTCATGTCAATAAAAGGCAAAGCTGTATCCACAGAACTGCCTTTCCAATAGACAAGTTGACAGCTAGAGAGTTGCTGCATCACAGGCAACGGCTTCATGAATTTGTTCAGATGAGCTAAACTCATCGAGAGATGCAAATATATTTTTCTGCATGAAGATATTCTCTAACTAGGAAACTACTCTTAAAACTGTTTTTGTATCAACTGTGTTGCATCTGTACGATCCTAAAGCAGTTATATTTCCGGATCTGATTTTTGAGTTGTGCCTCTTTTGAAGATGTGCGATATGTTGAGTGGCTGCGAATATTAAAAAGGCAGCTGATCTTTGTATTCAAACAAACATTAAAAGCTATTTGTATTTATTGAAAGGCGCGACCAGATATACACAAATTACCTCTTGACTTATGGTGTCTTTAGATATTAGATTTATATGAATGTTATCGACGTCACCTAAATGATTGTTTATATGTACATACACCCATGGCCAAGATAATAGAAACGTCTTCTTTTGACCAGTTTTGGCTATCTTTTTTTCTTTAATATTTATAAATTGTTTTTAAAGTGCACCTCGTTATCTAACAAAAAACATATAAATTAATATTTCAAGCTATGTGTAAAATTTTTAAAAATTTTGCAGTTGCATCTAAATTTTCAACTTTTTAAGCAGATTTTTATAACTTTTTTTTGAGTATGCACTTTTATAGCCCATTAAGTTTTAGTATAATAAAGTGTATTATGTGAATGTATTTCTGCCATGAAAAACAGCTTCTCATAAAAATAGCAGTTCGGAGTCGGTGTAAAACTGTAGGTCCCTCCCCTTTGTGAGACAACATCAAGGCGCACGCCACGAATCGGAGCGTAGGCGCCAATGTATTATTAAAGTGTAAGTTTTAAGTTGCTAAAAAATAGCGTAGATTTTACATAAGGGCTGTTCAGGATCGCGTGTATATGATCTAGCATTTGCATATTTCGGTGCATTTGTAAAGTCACAACACTAAAATGCAAACGGTTGCAATTGTAGCAAGCATAAAATTTGCAATGCAATTCCAAGTCCAAATCCAAGACCATTTCTACGATATCCTGATCAGCCCTATATTTTTTTTCTGACTGTGTTGAATAAAGTTTTATCAACTAGGCCACCCAAAGTTGACTTTTTGATTTTTATATTTCATTGGCCGATGTCTAAAGTTAACATGGTGTGCATTATTGACACCAAAAGTTTTGCGATAATTTTATTTCTAGACGAGTTATTTGCAAGCAAATTTTTATGCAGGCACCTTTTGAAATATTTCAGCAAAATAAAGTGGTTATTTTGTTGCCCAATAAGTTCTCTAAATGCTGTAAAAAGATCATAAGATTCGAATAAATGCTTGCTGAAATATTTAAAAAAGTGTAAAAGCCTACAAAATTTGTTTGCAAATAACTCGTAAATAAAAAAATAAAATTGGTGCAAAATCTTTGGTGTCAATGTTGCACACCATGTTAACTTTCAAAATCGGTCAATGAAATATAAAAAATCGAAAAGTTAACTTTGGGTGGCCCACTTGAGAAAACTAGAAAATTTAGATGAAAGATTTAAGTACGAATTTATATGGGTTTTGTTAGATAATGAGCTGCACTTCTATAAAAAATAATAAATATTAAATAAACAAATGGAATGTAGCCTAAATTGGTCAAAATAAGGAGTTTCTATTATTTTGCCCATGTGTCTACGAATAACTCTTCGCTGTCTAAGCGGCAATTCCTTTACCTTATCATCTTGGGATTGTATTTATAAGAAAATTTACTCGTCTAATTTTTCATTTCAATTGTCTATTTTTGTAGTTGTGAAAATATGCAAGAGCTGATATTGACCGAAAATTTCTTATCGGAATTGCCTGTATCGATCGGTCAAATGACGAAATTAAGCAATCTAAATGTCGATCGCAACGCGCTGGAATACCTACCCGCCGAGATAGGGAATTGTGCAAATTTGGGCGTTTTGAGTTTGCGTGATAACAAACTAAAGAAACTGCCGCCAGAGTTGGGAAATTGTTCGGTGTTACATGTGCTGGACGTATCAGGCAATCAGCTGCAGTACCTGCCATACACGTTGGTGAATTTGCAGCTGAAAGCTGTTTGGTTATCTGAAAATCAGGCACAGCCTCTGCTGACGTTCCAGCCAGACACAGATGAAGCAACAGGTGAACAGGTGAGTTTTCGTTCAAATGTCCGCTCTGAGCCAAGTACACAGACAGACTTGAATAACGAATGAATGGGAAAGAGAGAGTACAAAATAAACTCAGTATAAAAAACAAAAAGGAATGGGGTAAAGGGATTGGTAATTACGTCGTATTTTGTTTGTGCATGCGCGTGTCAGTAACATCGACGTGAATTTTTATATATGTATATATGTATGTATGCATGCGCATTTATGATTTGGATGCCGCTTGGCTTTTATTTTGCTTTTAATTTCATTTGGGAATTCGCTAGGGTGTGTAAATTGTCTGTTGTGTGGAAAAATAAGTAACTAACAAATTTTTTTTTGTTCTAATTTTGTTTTTATTTCCTCTAAGGTACTGACATGCTTCCTACTGCCACAACAAGAATATCAACCTATTACACCAGGTGAGTGCCGTATTTATTTATTTTTTAACTCGTATCTACATATTAATTGTAATCTCTTAAAAAATCGTATTTAGTATGTAGTTGACCTTTTTCAACATACGTACATGTGATATGCATACAGTACTGTTGAGATAAAAGTTACCACTGCATACATATTTCTAACCATGCATATGTATGTCCACACGAAAAGAAGGTATTTTATTGAAAAATAATAATTCTTGTTAACCTATTTTCGTATTATCGTGAATGACAGCGATTTTTGTTTACTTTTTTTCTGTAAATTTCCATCGGATTTCTTGCAATGGGCTTCAATTCGTAATACGGGATTACAATGTATGCGTTTATCAGGTATCTTAAAAATTCATATACCTGTATGTTGGTATTTGATCTCTCATCATCCGCCATTTTGCGCCACACAACAATGTCAATGGACTTTAGATCCGACTTGGAAGAAATTCGGTCTGTAAATTTTTTTTTTAATTAGAGCCATCTAGATGCATTTGTTTGCATGTACATATATCTCTACCTATTTGCCAAAGGAAAAAGTCCGGTTCGCGTTAATTTCCTTGTGTTTTTTATATGGGGTATTCATTATTAGTTTGAGGACATAAAATGGCTGGCTGTGCGTACTGCAGCATAAAATGATAAATAAAAAATTTTTATATGAAACTACACACAGCCAGCCATTTTAGGTCCTCAAACGAATAATGAATACATATACATATATACAGTATGTACATATCAACACCTCCAAACCATACTATGCTAAGTCTCACTAAGTCTAAGGTGACTTAGCATGGTATGGTTTGGAAATGTCGATGTGTATGCTACCGCATAACTTTGGACTACGTTAACCGATTTCTATATTTTTTTTTTTAAGAAAAGGTGTTACCTCATAGGTGGTCGTCCCATACCAATTTAAATCCGATCATTGGATCATGAAGAAACTAACTTTTTTTACAAGAATTGAAGTAGGTTGTGTTTTTTGATTAAAAATTACTTGTCATTTAGAGTACAGAAGTGCACAGCTTTCAAAAACAAAACACCTTGAAAACTTCAGAATCTTTTAAGATCAGCTAGAGGTATTTTAGAAACAAGTAATTTTTAAACAAAAAAACAAAACAGCTTCAATTCTCATATAAAAATTTAAGATTATCGTTAATTTCTTCGTGATATAATGATCGGATTTAAACCAAATTATTAGTTATCTTTACCAAAAATGGCTGATAGAGTGGAGTTTGATGCGAAAAACATAGAAAGAACATGAAGGAAAAGTGCAAAAAATGTTTTTTAGTAAAAATAAATTGCAGATTCAGATCCTTTTTTCGTAAAAATAAATTGCAGATTCAGATTCTTCTTAGTCAAAGAACTCCGAAAGACCTTTTGATGGTATAAATATTTCTCTTGAAACTTTAACTGCAAAAATAGAAACGCAAAGAATAATAATAAGAATTATTTTTACGTTCTAACGTCCTTACATATATTAAAAAGTTACGAAATTACAGAATCACAGCTGGTGCAACTTTTTTAAATGTACTTGGACCAAACTTTGGACTACTTACAATCACTTAAGGTTATGGTGCAGAATACGTACATTTCTTTAATTAACCAAGCCTACAACAAACATTAAACATTTACACCAAATTGCTCAGCATACAAAAGAAGAAAACATGTTATTTGGATCCATACGGGTTTCGCCCTGATCATAACGATATAATTTTTTTGATGCGAAATAATAATTGGTGGCGTTACTGAAGGTCCAAGTATAAATTTTTCACTTTCTGTAAATTGAAATTTCTAAAACAGTACTGTATTAATTTTCAATTATTTTGCCGTCGCTTGAACGGTATGTTTTATTTTTTCTATTTATACGTTTATGAGAAAAATAAGTTTTTATATAAAAAATTACTAAATTTAATAAAAATGAAGTTCTGCGCAAAAACACTTCCGCCCCTCTTTTCTGGCAACACAGAATTCGACTTAGTAAGGGTTATAATCCCTAAGCGCGGCCGATGGCCGCCTACGCAGAAAGAAGTTCTTATATATGACATGATGTATAAAAAATTAAAGCTCGATTTACACCCTTTTTAAATATGGTATTTATATATAATGTTCATGATGTGATTTTTAAAGAAAAAATAATAATTTTGTAAACAAAAAATTTCGATTTTTTTTTATAAAAAGTAGTTTGTTCATAAATTTTTTTAATAAAGAATAATATTTTTATTACATTTCTAATGACATAAAAATCCTGGAAATATCTTTACGGGTTTATGAGATATTGACGGTTAAAAAATAAATGTTTTAACATTGAATTAAACTTGCAGTTTCTGATTCCAAAAAAAAAAAATAAAATATATGTTGTAATCAGTATAAATTCCTCTATAGTGCTCAATTTTTATTTATTTTATGTATTTCACTTATTCCATTTTCACATTTATAATATAGTTAAATGTTCGGTCTATTGCCAAAAATCAGTATCTATGTTAAAAACAGCGTTCATAAATCATATACCGATGTTTACAATTTAAATCCAAGTCAAATCAGTCTTAAGTAATTCAAATAGAAACTCTCCCTTTCATGCGGATTTATTCATCGTTTGAAATATGTATGCAGCGATAACTTTTATCTCAACTGAAGCACTATATTACTTACGTTACTATGTTAAGGAGTATGGGTGATAACGTGTTCAGAGTTCAATACGAAACTGCTATTCAACTATATTCTTATTTCGCTTACTTTTATTCTGTCAACTAAAAAATATTTTTATACAGACAAATATAAAGTTTTGCCATTACGAATTTACAAACTTAAAATTTTAGCTCAAATGAATGAATTTGCTCTGTACAAACGTTGTAGTTTCCTTGGAGCGTTCGATAGTTATCGATGTATGTGTGTTTAAATACTTTGTTTACTTCAAATTTGTTTGTTTTTTGCTTGTGCAAGAATATGCAAAACTGCATATCAGCTTTTTATTGTAAAGCATACATTCTTAACTAAACACATTAACTCAGCGCATAGAAAAGATTCAGTATTAATACGGTTCCGCATCCCTTATGATAAACTTAGCAATGCACAGTGGCCAATTTTTCTAAAAAGCTGGCCAAAAGTCGAAGCGTGGTACAATTGTAATCAAACCTTGTGTATTCGTCTTTATTTTGGTTGCTGGTTTTAAATTTCAATACATTATTTCGAAATTCAAAATGACGGATCCATAATGGCTGCTGTGTACGCTTAAAATAATCAGATTTTTAGTAAAACTAAGGTAGTTAAGTATAAAAGGTCATGTTTTCTGCTTTTTTGTTATATAATGTGATGTAGCGGTTAGCAATATACGCTATCATTCAAGCCCAGTTTCCGACTAACATCAAAAAATAAGAATCAAACAAGTGTTTTGTAATAAAGTCGCCCTTTGGCAGCCAATGGCAAACCTCGAGTGTATTCAGCCACGAAGAACAGCTTCTCATAAAAATAAAATCCCCAATCGGATTCGGTGTAAAACTGTTGGTCCCTCCCCTTTGTGCGCCAACATCAAGGCGCACGCCACAAATGGAAGAGAAGCTCGGACAAACACTAACGAGGTCTTAATGTTTGTTTTTAAAAATCTTGATGTTCAAATTTACACGGGAACTGCGGTATTTTGAATGAATCAATGAACAAGACATACATATTTGTTGGTACAGGAATATATTTTTGACATAACAATTTTATACACCGTCAGACTCGCAGTCATTTGAAGTATCCAAGCTCATATCTATATTTTGTGATGGCAATTCCGCATCCGCATTTACAACAGTTGATAATAATTTAATGGCATCTCACGACAGTTTTTCTATCCGTGAATATCTATCTATGTCTAACGTCAGTTTTTAGATGGCGTAACAATGAAAAAACATGTTTTACATACTCTAGATTAGAATGTCCATGAGCGGATGATTGAAAACTGTTATTTTTTTTTTAAAGATAATACCACCATTTTAACAACGACGAAAACTCTAATTTACGAAAAGTTTAGGGCGAATTGCTAGCAACAGCACTTCGATCTCCTGTAACACTAAATGCCTTAAGAGAATCGACTTGTGGCCTCGTAACGATACGCAGTAGAGTCCTCCTAACAATATAAGATGGTTAGGCATACGAATGCACCAATTTTTTTTTGGATTTTTGGCCAGGGTCTTCCAAAAATTGGCCACTGTGCAATGTAATGCTTTGAACGCAAGTGCAAATATGACATAAGCAATTTTTGTATACAATCACAAGTGTAGCATTTAATTTTGCAAACGAAGTCGGTTATACTTAATCAATAATGTGTAAATTCTTGAAATCCCTACTCAATTACGGTATTCAAATAATTCTTGAAAAGTTAGCCGGGTATTAGCTGAATTCGCTACTGAACTTTCTATGCAGACCCTATATGATTACCATTTTAAAGCTGTTGTGTCCCTATTTCTTACTTGCTTATTTTATATGAGAGCTAACGAATATGTATATGAGCCATTCTTTTTTAAGCCTGATTTCGTAAAAAAATGGTATCTTGTCTCCTATTCGCTTAAATTTTTTTTAAGGGTTCTATACATGAAATAAGCTAACACGTGGTCATAACTGTCCTAAAGCTAACTTGGCTATTAACGGTTGAACTTTTTGAAGTTAATTTGCATAGTGAAGACCAGTAAAGTGGGGTTTTAAAATTACACCGTCCTAATCCTTGTTTAATTCTAAGAAATAACAATAAAAAACATGCTTAAAAAAATGGGTTTTTTTCAAGAACTATTGTGAAATATTTTTTTTTTTATGACGAGATGGTTTATTTTGTGAGTCAAACATTTTTTGTAATTTGTTATCGAAAACTTGTGAGGAAATATATTTAGTACGGTGCTAAAAATCGAGTTTTTGCAAAAATTGAAATTACGGATTCTTTGTTCGAAAAAGTTGTGGAACAAATTCTCTTCATGCGCCAAGAACGCGTGCTAAAAAAAAAGGTAAGTGCGCCTGGGCCACACTGGAGAAGTGAAACTTACGTTACATATAGGGTGATTTTTTTTATATATTTTTTCTATCTACATACATCTATCCTGTTTGTTCTAATTACATTTATTTTATTCCGTTTTCATTTATCTTCATTTTTATCTTCATACTCTATCGATAACAAAATCGATAGTAGCATCAATCAAAATAACGACAACAAAACCGATAAAAATATCGATACCAAATTCGATAAAAATATCGATAACAAAATCGATAACAAAGTCGATAGTAAAATTGATAACAAAAACGATAGCAAAAAATATCTATAAAATTACCTAAAACAAAATCGATAAAAATACCCATAGCAAAATCGATAAATATCGATAACAAAATCGAAAACGAAATCGATAAATATCGACAACAAAATCGATAAATATCGATAACAAAATCGACAAATATCCATAACAAAATCGATAAATATCTATAACAAAATCGATAAAAAATATCGCTAACAAAATAGTTAAAAATATCGATTACAAAATCGATAACAAATCGATAGAGATATCGATAACAAAATCGATCAAAATATCGATTATTATATCGATAAGTCCCGAAAATATCGATAGCAAAATTGATAATAATACCGATAAAAATTTCGATATCTAAATGGATAAAAATATCGGTAACAAAACCGATAAAAATATTGATTATTTTACCGGTGTTTCGAGAATCCTGAAAATCTCTAAAATCCCAAAATAGTTCCCAGATTGAGTCTCTGTGTCTCTCTCTATATCCTCTTTAATAACCTTTATTTTAATCTTTCTTCACCTATCTTCATCTTTACTTTTATCGGTATCCTCATCCTCATCTTTGTTTTTACTTTTATGTTTATCATTTTCTTCATCAACATATTCCCCTTCACCTTTGCCCTTATATATATAAGTAAAGTGTTTAAATTTACCTTGGTCTTCGTTTTAACCTTTATCTTTACACATCTTTGTTTTTATACCCGAGCGCACTTGTGCACAAGGGTATATTAGATTTGTTCACATAACGGTTGTTTGTAACAGCCAAAACGAATCGAGATAGACATAGACAAATGTATGCATAAATGATCAGAATGAAAAGAGAAATCGATTAAGCCATGTCTGTCTGTCTGTCCGTCCGTCTGTCCGTCCGCCCGTGTACACGATAACTCGAGCAAAAATTGAGATATCTCAACGAAATTTGGTATGTAGGTTTCCATTTACCCAAGGTAGGTTGGTATTGCAAATGGGCGAAATCGGACTGTAACCACGCCCACTTCCCATATAACGGTAATTTTTAGAAATACGAAAACTGCGATATTTTAGTAACTACTGAAGATTATTCACTCAAAATTGATACTTACAACAATTTTTAGACGAAAAATAATAATATAAATTTTTGGATAATGGGCGTAGCCACGCCCACTTATGGTTACATGTGTAAATCTTGGTAACCGCTGCACCAATTTCTTCCAAACTTGGCACAGTTGTTGGCCTTGATACAGCATACAAAATGGCCGAAAATCGGACAATAACCACGCCCACATCCCATATAACGGTAATTTAGAGAAATACAAAATCTTCCATAAATCAGTAAATATTAAAGCGAATTTATTCAAAATTGATGCTTGCAACAATTCTTTACCAAAAAATACGGTTATGGTAAAATTTTGGAAAATGGGCGTGACACCGCCCACTTATGATCACATATATGTATATCGGTAACCGTTCTACTAGTTTGTACCAAACTCGATATTTTTATTGTGCTTGCCACATAAAAGCAAAACGTTGCAAATTATTTAAATCTGACTAAAATTACGGCCGCTTTTCATATAACGGCAAATTTCAGAAATGCTCGAAACTGCAATATTTCGAAATTTAAGGACGCTAATTTATTCAAAATTGATACATTCCGGCTTACCATCTAGCGGTAGCTAAAGGTGAAAAAACATATATTTAATACTTGCGCCGGGTATTTAATGTTCGGCCCCACCCGAACTTAGACTTTCTTACTTGTTGTTTTTATTTTATTTTATTTTTTTATTTTTACCTTTGCCTTTATAATTTTCTTTATCTACGTACGTATTCACGTTTACTTTCATTCTTGTATTGGTATTGATAAGTGTTATCCTCTAACCTTTTGTTAGCAAGTTTTTGTTAAATTCATACCATATGCATACACACAAGAAGTACTTCTTTCAGCCCCAACCATTTCCGTTGCTTCATTTCCGTTGCTTCATTTCCGTTGCATACACACAAGAAGTACTTGTTTCAGCCCCAAACCATTTCCGTTGCACCATTTCCGTTGCATACACACAAAAGTACTTGTTTCTGCCCCAACCATTTCCGTTGCACCATTTCCGTGTGCAATTTCCGCTGAATTTGCCAATTTACTCCCAACCAACCAACCGCCGCTAAAGAAGTTTCACTTCAAAAACATCGGTCAACCAAGAAAAGGTTTTGCTTCTGAGTTACATTTGTATTGTCCAGACGGATGAATACAACTATTATTGCAATTATCGGTCCAGCGTTTAGAATGACCAATTCGTCTTATCAAGGCAGATCTCAGTAAAGAAAACGTATCTCCATTTAGGGAAGTTGGCCAGATGCTAAGCTTAATATAGAATTTCTAGCCGGGTAATATAGCTGATAACACGAATCTGAGCATCATATTTTTAATTTTATTATTAAAGTCCTTTGGTATTTATTCTCCTTAGAGACGCTTTCATAGCACGTATAACTTATAATTATTTGTTTAGAATCGTAGGTTAATTACCGAACGAGAGTTGACTTGCCTCTGTCAAAGCGGATCTTAAAAGTATTTGATAAGAAGTTGAAATTGATTTTAGACGTATTTTGCTGTAGTTTACTTGTTACTTGTTATACGAATTACAAAATAAATTAATAATGTAAAAATTTAACCATCATCAATTTCACTGCTAACAAATAATGCATAACGATATACGTATTCGCATACACATACATATATTCACCTGATGAAATATTCGTCTGTGTTCAAAGATTACCCACCGTGCCAACTCTATAGATCGAGCGAAAAATTCGATTCTTCGGAATTCCACGTCTATCAACAAAAAGGTTTGCCAACAGTGCTCAATTTATGTATTGTATTTGCTGATATTTGCAAGAATATAGTCATGTTAAACGAATATAGTCATGTTAAACGAATATAGTCATGTTAAACGAAACCAGTTATAAAGTTGTTCTTGAATGAGTTCTTGGGCATATATATACATACATACTTACATATATGGGCAAATCTCCGGAACCATACGCTTTTGTGTTACTCAGCTTTAAATTTATTTTAACAATGTAATTTTATAAAAAAACGTGGATGATTTTGATATCAATTTTGATGTGGTGTTATTTTTTTTATATTATCTATTGTCATTAAATTTTAATTTCTATAAAGAATCCAAGTCTTCATGATAAACAATTTGACGTGTTAATTTGGCTACCTATATACTTTTTTTTAAATTTAATTCCTTCAGAAATCATGGCATGGTAATTCTAATTTTGGGAAATGCATTACACGACGAAAACGTGCTCTGGTTGGAAATAAACTAACAATTTGAAATTTGTTACTCGCAATATCAGTAAAGTAATATGCATTTTAAGTTATTTTCAATTTTGCACCTTAAGAAAATACTTAACTGTACTTATTTTTTATATATTTAATATTTACTTTTTCATATATTTTTCCGTAAAAAAAAAACAACTGACAAGAGTTTATCACTGATACAGAACAGAGCACAGGTATGTTCATTTAAAAATAAAGAAAATAAAATAGTTATTATCTGGAGATTTGTCTTTGCGTGAATGGCTTCAAATTTACCTTTTTAAATAACATTCTTGGTATATGTACATTAGACTGACACTCCCCATACAAAAAAAATCGGTACTATTTTTCCATTGGAATTATAAAATCTATTATATTTTAAGACGTCCACCAAAATATTTCGAAAAAATATTAAGATTTAAGTGAGCTGGACCAATTTCAAAATACCTCCAAAAATGGAGTTTTTTTTGAATAAAAGTAGTTTCTTAAAATTTTTTTTTTTTAAAAATCCCCTCAAATGACAAAACGGTTTAAGCTTAAAAAATTTTGCATAAAAAAATTAAAAAAAAAAAATTAAAAAAAAATTTGAACGGAATCGTAATGATGAGGTTTTTGATGCTGTTTTTTAACTTTTCAAAGATTGTTATAAGAAAAACTTGAATAACTGAGTCTAAACTCTTCTGGTTTAGACTTAAGAGGTGTCGGTGGGAAGGTATTTTTTTCACCCTCTTTATTTCTTTGCTAATAAACTCATTCAGGGGATGAAAGAGAAAGGTAGGATGAACGAATGTTATTCAAAGTTGAATTAAGAGGTATTTGAAAAAGAAAAAAATTGGGACACGAATGATTTTTTTTGGACAGAAATAAAAACAGTGTGAAAATACCTTTCTACTGAGATCCCATAAGTCTAAATCAGAATAGTTTTGGCCCAGTTATTCAAGTTTTTCGTAAATCAATCTTTGAAAAAAGTAAAAAAAAAAACAGCGTAAAAAATCTCATTCTTACGATTCCGTTGAAAAGATTTTGAAATATATTTATGCAGATTTTTTAAGCTTAATCAGTTTTGTCATCTGAGGGGACTTTTTTCAAAAAGTTCTTTACGAAACTATTTTTATTCATAAAAAACTCCATTTTTGCAGGTAGTTTCGAATCGGTCCAGCTCACTTAAATCTTAATATTTTTCCCAAATATTTTGGTGAACGTCTTAGAATATAATACATTTTGTAATCCCGGCGGAAAAACCGTAACTTTTTTTGGTGATGCAGTCTAATGTACATAGTTACATACAATATTTGTCTAAAATACGTCAATAAATTTATATGTTTATGTAACAGATTTTTTGAGCTTTGGCGCAGTTCGGTTAATTTTTTAACTATTTACTCAAAATTTGATTTTTCATAAAGTTTTTTGAAACCAGGCGTGGCACTGCAGATATGTGTATCCCCGAAAAAAACTTCAGCAATCTGTAACAAATGTTATACACATTACACCGACCTCCTTAAGCATCACATTGAACATTTTTGAATTTGGGCGCCAACTTGGAACGTGTATACCAGAAATATCGCAAACATGTTGAGTTTTCGAAAGTTACCGTTTTTTACCAATTACTCTCTCGGTATTAAAAAATGAATCACGCAAGAATTTATTGTTTCCCTCAATGGATTTCAAACCATTTTATGTATAATTTATTTTTGTGCGTTCAATTTAAAAATTTGCGTTTTTATAACTGAGATTTGCCCATATGTCATAAACTCATATAGGTATTTGCTTTAACGCTTTTCTGTATATACATATAATGCATATATACGAGTGCTTAAATGTAAATAAATGCATATAAACAATATTTATATTAATAGTACTTAAATAGCCAATCGATATCTTTTACTTGCACCCAAAATATAAAGGCAAAATTAAAATTTTCAGCATGAACGTTAACATATCGCACCCTAAATCAAACAGTCCCAACTCAAAAAATCCCAAAGAAGATAGTGATGATGAAGTAGTTTTTGGCGGACGTTAGAAATATGGCATGTGAACTGTTTTATGGGGAAAAATCAATTTTGAGTTGTGACTGTTTTTGATTTAGGGTGCGATATGTACATACTACTCAAAATCTGTGGTCATAAGCAATAGTCACCCGCTTAAGTCGAAAACCATAGTTATATAAACCATATATATATATATACATTACATGCATTAGACAAATTCTGAAGTTGATTGAAATGGATATTCTTGCTCACCCAAGGATATGGTGAAAAATGTTATTTTAAAAAATGAAAGAAAAAGCTCATTAAAGGAGATGATTGGCTTTTTATTTCGGGTTATGTAGTCTTAAGTGCATATGTCACCAATCACTTTTAATTACACTCAGTTTTCTATTCGAAGTTTTTTAAATTTAGTTCTCATAGTAAAACTTGATTTAAGGAAATGGAGCTCCAAAGTAAATCCAAGCCATTTGGAAATAATTATTGGCCATCAAGATATCATTCATTCTAATTCAAAACGACTTAGGCCATACCGTTTTCAAAACTATATCTTTACAAAAGTACTTCAGAAAGTTAGAGATTTAAACTAAATTATTTTTATAATACGGTGCGATACATTACTAAACTATGCCTTAAATCGATTGAAGCGGTTGTTGGTTTTGACCACATTAGTACATTTTATGATATTAATGAAAAAGTAAATAAAAAAATTCTAGTACAGTAATAACTTACTAATAAAACGTATCATTCAATTTAACCTTGCTTTCCGTTTCGGTGGCCTTGTAGAGTGCATAAACATAAAGATCGGAGAGTTTACCGACTGTGGAGCATGGGACGTGTAATTGACTTTTCCCTTTATTGATAGTCATCGCGACGGCAAGGTGTAATTAAAAATTGAAGTTGTTTGAATATGGCGCCAAGTTGGAACGTGTATACCACGCGCCCAACCGATTTGCCGGTTGGGTCAGCGGTTGGATGAAAATTAAGTAAATGATCGTATAGACAGTGTAGAGTGAACTTGTACAACAGCATTTGTTTTGATTTACATTTTTAGTTAATTTGAGTGAAATTTTCTTAAATAAAAGTGAATGGCAGCTTTTTAAAACAACAAAAACTGCTAAACTTCATTGAATCGTACAGAAATTAGCCAGTGCTGGTGAACTAAATTCTTAAATTCCGCGACATGTCCAGCACGACAATTAGAATAATAATGAAGCTGGACAGCGCATTGTACATCGTGTTGAAACGTGTATATTAAACAACAATCCAAGTCTTTCTCCAAATCCTTAAGATATAAATGTCCCTAGTAAATTGGCCACCTACTTTATGTACATATATGTACACTAGGGATGTTAACTTTCTGCTTTTTCCGATCCCGGTATTTTCGGGATGGCATTGTCCCAATCCCGGGATCCCGGGACTAATCCCGGGGCTTAGATATTCATTACTCTTCAACAACTTGAATCGAAACAAGTAAGAAAGTCGTAAGTTCGGGCGGAGCCGAACATTAAATACCCGGCGCAAATATTTCATTTCATTTCATATTGAAATTTCAAGCATTTCTGAAATTTACCGTTATATGAAAAGCGGCCGTAATTTTAGTCCGATTTCAACAATTTTCAATGGTTTACTTTTATGTGGCAAGCACAATAACCATACCGAGTTTGGTACAAATTGCTAGAACGGTTAGCGAGATACATATACGTGATCATAAGTGGGCGGTGCCACGCCCATTTTCCAAAATTTTATCATAAACGTATTTCCTGGCAAAGAATTGTTGCAACCATCATTTTGAATAAATTAGCTTTAATATTTAGTGATTTATCGAGGATTTCCTATTTCTCGAAATTACCGTTATATGGGATGTGGGCGTGGTTATTATCCGATTTTAAAAATTTTCGGCCATTTGGTATGCCGTACCAGGGCCAACAACTGTGCCAAGTTTGGAATAAATTGATGCAGCGGTAACCATAAGTGGGCGTGGCTACGCCCATTTAAAAAAAAAGGGTTAATATTCTTATTTTTCGTCTAAAATTTATTATAAATATCAATTTTGAGTGAATTATCTTCAGTAGTTACTAAAATATGGCAGTTTTTGTATTTCTGAAAATTACCGTTATATGGGAGGTAGGCGTGGTTATTGTCCGATTTTTCCCATTTTCTATACCATCCGTCCTACGCCCGAAAGAAGTACACGTACCAAGTTTCGTTAAGATATCTTAATTTTTACTCGAGTTATCGTGTGCACAGACGGACGGACAGACGGACGGACGGACGGACGGACGGACGGACGGACAGACAGTCACCGCTTAATCGATTTCTCTTTTCATTCTGATCATTTATGTATACATTTGTCTATATCTATCTCGATTCGTTTTGCCAACAAACAACCGTTATGTGAACAAAGTCATAATACCCTTGTGCACAAGTGCGCTCGGGTATAAAAATTGCTTCTATTTCTTTGAGAATCATGAAATAAATAATAAATAAATGGGTTTGAAACCTACTTTTTTATTTAGAGTGGCGTTTTTATTTTTTCTCTCTGACCACAGGATTTATTTTGAAGGACTTTGTAATTTCAAAAATATGATTAATTCCAAAGATTTCCAAAGATGAGTTTCATTCCGATATCTTAATAGCTATGAAAGTTATGAATTTTTCTTTGAAAAAGTGGCAAAAAGTTCAAATATCAATATGTTGAAAAGTTTTTGGAATTTTTAAATTACTCAATAATTTTCTCATTCCTTGCTTCAAAAGTAGCTGGAATATATCGACACCTGAGTAGAAGATAGACCTATCTCGGAAGCCAGTTCGGAAACGCCCTGCCTCAGAAAACTTTTCAAGTACGTTCTACTTCAGAATTTGATTGAAGAACGCCCTATTTCAGAATTTTATTGAAAAACTCCCTATCTCAGAAGTTTGTTGAAGAACGCCATATATCAGCTGCCAATTCGAAAACGTCCTGTCTCAGCACACGTTCAATGTATTTTCAGCTGAGATAGGGCGTTTTGAACCTAATTCTGAGATAGGGCGTTTTTCAACCAAATTCTGAGATAGAGTGTCTTTCAATCAAATTCTCGATATGAGTCTATCGATATGATCCCAGAATAGTTTTTTAAGTTTTTAAAATCACTGCGATCAGTTGACGTGGACTGTTTCTATTTGTTCGTATGGTTGCGGAATACGGAAAGCTCGGAAGTTTGGAATTACGTCCTGAAATTAGACGCTCTACATCGTCTTATCTCAGACGACACCATCAACCATTCATTTGCAGATCACTAGAGCTCAGAATTTGTAAATTTAACTTCTACTTATTTTGAGGCATAAAAATCCGAGCTCTACGATCACCTCCGCTTATGGCAATTTGTTTCTTAATAGCGCTCTTACACGATATGTATTTTCATATGTAAATGCTACGTTCCAATATATGGTACATAAATACAAGTAGATAAAAAAAAGTAGCATTTACATACGCAAATACACATCGTGTAAGAGCGCTGTAAGTAGCAATTCTCTATTCATAACGGCCAAGTATTTTTCTATTGGACTGAGGACATTTGGAGTATTACCATTTTCCTGTACAATATTGACGCCAAGTTCTTTAACCGCTTTATCGCAAATTTGCTACAGTATTAAGTTGCGTGCCTGCAAAGCTTTATCATTGGCATCTTGGACCCTTGTGAACAAATGCTTTCCTGCGCCCGGTTCGAACTTTTTTCCTTAGATAATCTTGCATAAAAGCTTTTAAGCACAAGAGTTACCGTTGAATATGCAATATTTAAGGTTTTTGCAATGGCTTTGTGAGTAAAACTTTTCTTTGTTTTTTTTTTGGCACAATTAATTTACGAGTAGTTTTGATTTTTGATAACATTTTTTCACGTTTAACGAATTTAGAAAAAGCAAAGTCATAATAATGTAAAATAAATATTCCATTAGCGACGCACTCAAAGCGAATTTATACAAGGTGTGGTGTTACTGGCGAATTTAGATTTTCGCCGCGGTCCTTCTAAATGTCATAATGATGTGTTTGTTGTAAACAAGGCGAATTCATATTACAACAAACACATCTCTTTGACCAAGGTGTATTAAACAAGGTGGTGTTGGGGCGACAGCTGAGTTTTTCGCCGTGGAGGCCATTACGTCAAAATGATGTGTTTGTTGTAACTAATACCAATGACAGTATGGAAATCAGCGCATAATTTGTTAGTGTAATTTTCTACTTATATACGGCCAACACCACCGTGTTAAATACGCCTTGTTTTTGACATTCAGAAGTACCGCGGCGAAAATCCCAATTCGCCAGTAACACCATCTTGTATAAATTCGCCTTGGACGCATAAGCTTATTTGATTTCATTCAAGGCGAATTTACATTACAACAACGATAACCACATGTATTTTGTATGGAAGGTGTTATGTCAAATCTCAATTCGCTCCAAAGTTTACATGTATTTTGTTTTTGCTTTTGATGGGTGTGCTGTCAAATCAGTAAAAGCAAAACCAAAATACATGTAAGGCGAATAAATCAGCTGATTTTACAACACCACCTTGTATAAATTCGCCTTGATATCATTTCTCTACATTTGACGCAAAAAAAATCGCTTACTTGAGACCAGTTTTTTCGTATATACTACTGAGTAAGTGGGAAGGGTATATAAGGTTCGGTCTCGCCCGCATTTAGACTTCTTTATTTGTTAAAATTACAAAAATCTTTAAATTTTTGTCGGCTTATCAAAAGAGCTGAAGGCCTAACATAACATATTTATCTTAAAGCCATAGAATTAGATCTCGTCCACTTATGGTTTTATAGAAAATTGATTGAAGAGCGATAAGCTTTAACATTGACTCACTTTTCTATCGGAGCCTATTAAGCGTTTATTAGATTAGAAACATTTCAAGATCATAAATTTGAGCATATCTATACTTGTATGTACATAAATACATACTATTTATGTTATATTATTAAATACACATGATAATAGAGATACCAAATCGAAAAAGAAGGCTGAATCATCACTTAAAGGGCTTTGAAAAAAGAAATCGTGAAGAAAAATCGAACTGCAGCACCTTATACGCTGCGCAAAAGTATTGTTATTAATTTATGTATGGGTGTTAAATATAAAAACTAAAATTTCAGAAAAATCTCTTCTTAGTGTATAAACTGTAAGGTTTTACAAAAAGCTACATACATAATTCATTAGATGGCCAGTTTCAGTTACGCATATTAATTTCTACTATTTTCCATTGTTTATTTTTCTACTTTTACATTAAATATAATTAGGTTTCTCCGCACTCTCTTGCTAGTTTATAGCGTTTAGTTCATATATTATAAGTTGTTCATAAATAAGAGAGCTTACCTGTTGATGAAGTGTTTGAATGAATGTTAGCTTTTGTTATTTATCCGCAATTATAACTAGCAATATCTAGCCCTCTCCATAAAACTTGAATTCTCGTTATGCGTTACGCAATTTTGGTGATTCAATCAACTTACGTACATACACATGTACGTATATAGGTATGCAGGTATGGTCTTCTACCGACTTGTGGTGTTTATGTACATATGCACTTAATATTTGTTAATCAGGTATTATCGAAATTATTTAACTTAACTTTGTTTCTTGTGACATCATCGTTAATGGCACATACCAACATATTTATGTATTTTTGTCTTATCCAACAACAAACTTAACCTTCGATCTACTTAAGTGAGATAGTAGTTGTTTTTCTATAGCGCAGATATGCATATGTGTATGCATGTATGTACCCTGTCGGAAAACCCACTAGTGCCGAACTGGTTCTGCACTAAAGCATTTAGAACCATGACTAGTGCCCGTTAATTTTCTTTTGAGTGCTAGCAACTGGCGAATTTAACACTGCGATGTCCTACGAAGTGTCAATTGCCCCCGCTGCATCAATTTTTCGATAGTTCCGAACTAGTCCTAAATTTTATAGTTCCGAGTCAGGTCTAACTGACGAAAAAAGTATCATGATTTTTTTCAGTCTTTTTGGTTTTTGAATGTGTGTGGCTCTAAATTATTTTCAAATAAATGTATTTTCAATTTGAAATTAAATTTGTTTGAATGATTGTAAAAAATGTACGTTTACATACCTTTGGCCGTAAGCTGAGTTTGCAGAGGTGCTTGCTCTTATTGGTTAGATTTCGCAAGGTTCCAAGATTTTAATATGTTAACACAAATTTTGGTTTTGTATTACCAAACTATGAAAAAGCATCTGCGAAGTGCAGAGTGAAAGCTTATTTGAATGAAAAAGCCGCCAAACACATATCTATGTAATGTAAACATCACTTTTTCCATAGTTCTGAACAAGTTCAAAATTCGACAGATAAGATCTAGTTCGTTCTGCATCCCTTTTTCTATAGTCCCGAACCAGTTCTAAATTCGTCACCTTAGATATAGATTTTTAATGTAAGAAGTGAAATAAAATAGTTTTTTAAAAGTACATATGTACCACATTTTTAGTTACTATCGGACTGGCTAGTTTTTGGCGATAAAGAGCTAGTACGGAACTACCAATTTGATTCATTAGTTCGCGGTTTCCCTGCAAGGTACATTAGTATGTATATATCTACAAATTACTATCCATTTAATACGGGCGGTAAAAACAGTTTATTCACGCTAAGCATAACAACATACGTATTTATGTACATAAATCTTCATTAAAGCGCTCATAACGCCGAGATGGGAACGTAATTTAGTTAAATAATAAAAGAAAAATTTAAAGCAGAACAATAGGTCACCACAGCCTTTATATATGCCACAAGTTTCTATGTTAGCACAAGTGATTCTGTGAAACGTACACATTAATGAACGTATGAATAGATGTGCTTATCACGTTGATATGTAAAACCTGTGCCAATTTATACATAAGTGAGCGCAGGTTATGCAATTCCCAAGTTACGTCTCCCTCTTAAAACGCAGTGACAACACCAATATACTAGTACTCAAACAAATAAACCACTTTTGGATACCTGAAAATATGCATAAATATGAATAGCTAAAATGTTGTGCTAAGCAGTTTTTCTCATACCATTACAAATGTAATAACTTACTTGACTGTATGCTGTTGGCTGAAATTGCTTTGTTGTGTTGACACCTGTTTGGCTATTACATACTAACTATTAAATACATACTTTATTAAAAATAGCTCAAAATGCCTTTTTCGTAAATATCTAGTACTTCATGTATACATACATGTGTACATACATTTATGTGTACAAATGTGGTTATAACCTGTATATTGGCAATGCGAATGCATGCACGTAGAAATGTGTGAAAACTCTAAAATTAATCTCATTTATAACAATTGCAAGCATTAAATAATTAAAAAAATAATAATAATCTGCGAAAACTATTTAATAAGAGCTTTTTAAACATGTTGTCGTTATTCTTTATTAATCTTAGCTCGCGAGCTTGAAACTGATTCGGATGGCTGGGAAGAGCGAGAAGCCTCAAGAACACATTCCGTAAAATTTTCTGAGGAATCAACGCAGGAGAAGGACACACCGTTTGTCAGGCAAAATACACCACACCCCAAGGAGCTGAAAGCAAAGGCACACAAACTATTTGCAAAAGATCGTAGCAGAGTTGATGACGCCAACTTAGATACAGTTTCTGAAGAAGTAAGTAAAAAGTGTTATATTCATTGTTGTAAAAAATAATGCTTTAAATACCAATGTCACATACGACAAAGAAATATTTTCAACTTGCCAATCACAAATCAGCTATTTACCTTAACATCATTTATTTTCTTAACAGACATCATCAAAGTTCGCTGTTAGCAACGCCGCAAGAATCGGTCCTAATTCCACCATAGTAGAGGACGTAGCAGAAGCAAAACCCATCTATGATAATCATCAGCAGCAGCCTATCTCACCACAAACCCCAACAGCAGCGGTATCATTCGCGCAACAGCCTGTTCTTGCTCAGGCAGCCGGCCAACAGCAAGACCCGAATGGAAATTCCGCAACAGCCCACGAACCGATTGCAAGCGTAGCACCCGAGCATGGCAATGCCGCTGTAGTGGTGACTTCAGCGATTGTAACAGCGGCAACAGCAACGAGTGGCACTGCCGATGAAGAAGAAGACTTTGTAAGTACAGACACAAACCACTCCAAAGCATAGCAAACTGTTAACCGTTTCAACATAGTAACATAACCTGATTTCCGTACGTTTCTTATGTTAACTTGCAGGATGATTCAGAAAGACGTGTTGGCTTTCAAGTAGAGGGGGAGGATGACGATTTCTACAAACGTCCAATGAAGTTGCACAGACGGTATGTACACATATTGCATAAACAACTTCTACAACAATTAATTAGTTTTACTGTTTCAAAAATGTTAGGAAAGTCATGCAGTTTACAAAAAGATGAAACCTCGATTTTTTACATGAGTAGTTACACGCAGAAATAGGTTTGTTCGTTTAAGATCTCTAGTAAAAAATGTCCAACAGCAAATTTCCGGCGAAGTGTTATCTATTCTCTCACAAGAGAAACATATCCAAAATGGTACGCAAACAGGAAATTTGCAGAAACTTTCAAGTTAGACGAACAGTTGATAGAAATTTTGTTTACATTCAAAAGTGTAAAATTGAAACGGAAGAGAACAAATCCCAAAGTTTTATCCTGACACAGTTTACTGACTAAACGAGTAATAACTTACTTCTTACAAGTTTAATTAGTCGCATTTTATTGTTTTTAACCTCCAAACCATCAAATTCAATTTAGTGATTTGTGTAAATTCCAATCAGCTGTTTTTAATCAGCCGTTTTCTTGTTAGCAAAAATTTTTCCTGCAGAAACTAGCAGCTTCCCCTCAAAATGATATGCCATTTGGCTCTCTCGATTTCCCCTACTTTGCAGTGACAGTAACAGTTATAAGTTGAGGTCTGATTATGCATACTGCGCATAACTTCGCACAACTATTTTTACCACTGCACGCGAAATATCACTTAAGAAAAAGTGAAGCAAAATCTAAACTCCAACGATCGCTAAGTTTTTACAAGTTCTGCTAATTTCTGGGTAAAGAAGTACATACAAAGTACAGGCAAAATTACAGTTTAAAGGTTATGCAAAGTATACATAACACTGTGCAACAGCCGAACCCAGCCCGGATTTTGTTAACATTTCCTGAAAGTATACCCATCCAGTAGTAAAACACTCGGTGGATTTGTAAAAGTTAGCTCGTATTTTTATTTTGTGGCCTACTACTTCATGTCTCGGCCTAACAAATGGTTAAAATTAAATTTAATAATATATATAAAAAAATTTCATGGGAAATATTTCCGTAGAACATTTTAACCCGTTGGCTCCCGCCTGAAAGAGCGGGTTTTGACTATTACTTCAAGGATTAAAGGTTGAATATTGAATAAGGAAAATGAACTAGCAACACGAGTTTACGGGTCAGATGTAAATGCTTCTGACTTTGCACATCGATTACACGGGTTCGATCCCTGCTGAGGTCTAGAAAAGAGAAGTCTGATGAGGAGATGTGATCTCCGAAATGGCTGCTATAACTTCTACCGCTTAGTCTTTTGCTTGTTGCTTTTTCCATTTTTCCTAATAAAATAATCGTGGTACAAAGCTCAATAAAAATATAGAAAATAAAATACAGTTTATTCTCTAACAAGTCTAAAAGTTTTTAAAAGACTACATAAAACGGGACAAAATTTCACCCAAATTCCGAACTTTTTTCTCAGAAGTGTTAGAATTTTTCGGAGTAGAAAGTTTTGTAGCCCATTAAATTTCAGTCCAATAATGTGCAAGTTTGAAGTGGCTAAAAATTACCGTTGATTTTTTAGAACTTTTTTCGCCGAAGGTGTTGCGAGTTTCTCCCATATAAAAATGAATTGTGTGTATTCGTTATATGGTAGCAAATGGGACAAAAAAAAATTAAATTCTAAAAAATCAAGGGTAATCTTTAGCGACTTGAAACTTGCACATTGTCAGACTTAAATTGAATGGCGTTTTTCAACCAAATTCTGAGATAGGGTGATTTTCTATAAAATTTTGAAATAGGGCGTTCTTCAATCAAATTATGAAGTAGGACGTTCTTGAAACGCTTTCTGAGATAAGGCGTTTTCGAACTGGCTGCCGAGATAGGTTAATCTTCCACTCAGCCATCGATTTTTTCTGGAAGCTTCCTTACCAATGATTTTTTAGAAACAATTTTGAATCAATAACAGTTATTTTCGGTCCCTGGTTATTTGATTACAAACTAATATTTAATTAAGTACTAATTGTTGCAACTTGAATTATTTAGAAATTAAAATTTTTATTCAGATTGAGGCCGTTTGAAATTAAAGATGTTATGGAAACACTGCAGTAATTTGCTTTTTATTTGCTCAAGCTCAATAAAATTGTTAAATATTCGATGGTTGAGCGCACACTTGTGTTAAGTGACAACTTTACAATTTTTCAGGAGCGCGTATTTTATCTTCAAACGGCAATAGCGTGTGAACGGACAGTTTTTGTCAGCTCTTACCATTCCAAATGGTTAATTCATATATACGGAATCTAACTTTATTAAAGTAGGTAATGTTGACAGCTTCAGTGTGAATATTATTTTTTGATTTCATTTGATTGCGCGCTTACCTCATTTGGCATCAAAATTTTCTATACTTACAGCATTCTTTGCTAGCGGTCTGCTATGAAAAACGACTTCAATTAAATTTAAAGTATACATTTATTGTTGGTAATTAAACATGCTAACATAGTTTTAACAAGATAATAATTTAAAAAGAACTAGAAAAGTAAGTTTGAATAAGAATAAAAGCTTCAGTTGTTTTCTCTTCGTAAACTCCTACTTGTAGATGGCAAGTTGGCAATAAAGCTTTTATATTCCGAAGGAATTGCGCCCTTGGAAACTAAGAACAAGAGGTTTTCTGTTTTGTCACTATAAATAGGATTCGGTTTGGAATTTTTGCTTTTAAATTTATTGAGCGCCATTCAAATTGCTGAGTTTCCTGGAATGTTCTGCTTTGTCTTTTTATTTGGTTGATGTTTATTTCCATGAACCCGTCTTTTGATAAATCGTACTTATCAAAAGTGGTCCTGACTTTTAAAATCGCAGCCATTTAACTGCCTCGTTTTGTGTGTTTACAGTTGTGTTAGGCATCACTTGTAGTAGATATTAAAATGCATTAGCATCACACTATATAGTTTGCACTTGCCTATAGAATTCTGTCAGCCAGAATTCTGAAACAACCAAAGTGATTTACTTCGTAACATACAAACTATGGCGTCAAATAACAATGGAGTCCGACCGTTTCCAATTTTTTCTCAGGTACCGATGCCGATGTCTATTAATCGGCTTATGGGGAAAGAATCGGCCGATGCCGATTCCATAAAAATTACAAATAAATGTATTAATTAATAAAACCAGTTCATTTCAGGAAGCTAAAAAAGCAAAAGAAAATTTTTAATCAGAATTTTGGTATGCAGTTTTGTAGACCGTTTCATTCTAGTATAATGAAGTGCAAGTTTCAAGCTAAAAATCCCGTTAATTCCCGTTAATTTTTGGCAATTTTTTTTTGCTGGCAGTGTTCTCCATATAAAAGAAAATTGTCGCACATACTTTTGTATGGAAAAAAAACGTGAAACATCTTCACCAAAAAAAAAAAAACATTATTGTCTGCAAATTTTTTTTTAATGTTGGCTGTCGCTTCACCTGAACATTTGAAAAGAAATTCCAAAGAATCGGCAAAGAATCGGCGAAAAAAGGCCGATGCCGATGCTCAATTTCGTGCCTATACTAGCCGATGCCGATGCCGATTAATCGGTCGGACTCTAAATAACAAAGCTATTGGGCCGCACAGTAGTCGGAGAAGCCATGTTTTACGCGAAAAATTGGACGGGCTGTTATGATTATATTAAAACTGCGGGATCTTAGTATTGTTGTAATGGTAAATTTGAATATGCCATAAAATTTATAGTTTGACAGTTGACAGCTGTCAAATATTTAGACTGTGATTTTTTCTAAAAATACGACAAACTTTTCAAAAATGCCACTGATTGGTTTTTTAGACATGCTGATCACGAATTTTATGTCAAATTAAAACTTTGAGAGTTGAAAGCTGTCAAATAAATTGTTCATTTTTCTAAAAATAAGCAAATATTTTTTAAGATGCTACTAATAAAGGTTTTAGACACGCTAGTGAAGGGGCTGTCAATTTATATAGAAATAAGGAAAATTTCCCATGAATTAAACGTACTATATTTTAAGATTCACTGATATCGAGTTCTGTATCACATTCAAACTTTATGATCAAATTATGAAAAAATAACGGTAATTATATATATAAATTAGGGGTAGTTGGGGCCGTCTGCTATATGTTTATCCAAAACAATTGGATCTAGGTCCCAAAAGTTTTTTTACGATTTTTTTATTTTATACGAAATTCATCATTTGCAAAAATTTCAGTTTTCGCATTTTTAAATAAAGTTAAAATTTCGGACGCCATATTGGACTTTGCATTTTGAATTTTCATGAAAATTCAGTAATATCTTAAATTCTTGGACGCCATATTGGATTCGTATTGTATTTTTGACAAGTAAGTTTTAAGCAAAAAACAAAACCGGCTACAATTCTAATCTGGTTTAGATCCGATCATTGGATCATGAAATATATAATTAATTCGACAATCTTTCAGCCATTTTGATATTTTGTTATGTTCATATATGAAATATTAAGATATGGCTTTGAAACGAAAGAGTATTAAGATAAGAAATCTTTAGTTTGAAAATTAAGAATTTTTTGAGGTGTTGTTTAAAAAGTTAAATTCAAATTGAGTATTAGATAAGTTAAATGAATTATAAGAAAAATGGGTAACAATCGGAATGGTTTTAAAAAGGCTTTATTTCTAAAATACAGGTGCGAGGGTTGCCACCTATTGAACAATTCAAATTGAACTTGAATTAAGAGAATTTGGTAATTGAAATACATACATACAGGTTTCAAGATTGTTGTTGTGTGAAAATACTTTGAAGAGGTTTGCCACCTGTATGAAAAGGCGAACTTAAATCATATATGTAATACTCCTATATTGGTAGTAACAACTAGTACCGTCCGAAAACACTACAGTACAGATATATCAATAAACACGTACGAAAGAAAAGGAACACATACGTTTATAAATAAACATGTACACAACACATATACAAAAACGGCACTCAAGTACACAATACATTGACAAAAACGGTACTAGAATCTCTCGCTTTGATTTCGGAATGCTTACACATTGAGAAGTGAGCTTACTGCCAATATAGAAGTATTACATATATGACTTAAATACATTGTGCACAAGTTATATAAAATATTTATATATAAGTGTCAAACGCAAGGGTGTTAAGAAATATTTTGCTGGAACATATTATACTTCAAACACATCGGTAAAGAAGTTCAGTAAAAGAAAACAAAAGGGAATTGTTCCAGACATCTCGGTAAATATTCGTCCGAGGCACTTGAACGCCGAGTGCTACTGCTGTAAAAACCGTGGACTGAGTAAGATGCTAGAAACTGGCTTACTTGAGAATGATCAGCATTGAAACACAACACTAACCAAAGGTTCACTCACGTGTCGTCAAAAAGAAATACGAACTTTTAACAACATGCGCACCACCGAATCCCTGAGCAATGGAAAGGTGTCGTGAAAGCCTCGGTGGAGACATTCTAAGTCAAGCACGTGTAACTCTAATATTGATTGAGGTGTTATGCAGGCCAATTAACAACAAAGCCATTTTCCAACGCCAAATGCCAGCATCGAATAGAAAAGCTGTGCAAGGCAGAGACTTGAGGTGAGAAGAGCAGTTTGATGCAAATCAGCAGGAACATTTTCAGCAAAAGCAAAAAGAGCTTTAGTTGGTAGCAGAAATGCTTATGAAACAAGTAAGAAAGTCTAAGTTCGGGCGGAGCCGAACATTAAATACCCGGCGCAAGTATTAAATATATGTTTTCCACCTTTCCGAAAGCTACCGCTACATGATAAGCGGGTGTATAAATATTAAGTAAACTAGCATTCTTAAATTTCGAAATATTGAAATTTCAAGCATTTCTAAAATTTACCGTTATATGAAAAGCGGCCGTAATTTTAGTCCGATTTCAATAATTTTCAACGCTTTGCTTTTATGTGGCAAGCACAATAACCATACCGAGTTGGTTCATGATCACATATATGTGATCATAAGTGGGCGGTGCCACGCCCATTTTCCAAAATTGTATCATAAGCGTATTTCTTGGTAAAAAGTTGTTGCAACCATCAATTTTGAATAAATTAGCTTTAATATTTACTGATTTATCGAGGATTTCGTATTTCTCGAAATTACCGTTATATGGGATGTGGGCGTGGTTATTGTCCGATTTCGGCCATTTGGTATGCTGTACCAGGGTCAACAACTGTGCCAAGTTTGGAAGAAATTGGTGCAGCGGTTTCCAAAATATACACATGTAACTATAAGTGGGCGTGGCTACGCCCATTTTTCAAAAATTTTCAATATTCTTATTTCTCGTCTAAAAGTTATTCTAAATGTCAATTTTGAGTGAATTATCTTCAGTAGTTACTGAAATATCGCAGTTTTCGTATTTCTGAAAATTACCGTTATATGGGAGGTAGGCGTGGTTATTGTCAGATTTCGCCCATTTTCAATACCATCCGTCCCACGCCCAATAGAAGTGCATGTACGAAGTTTCGTTAAGATATCTCAATTTTTACTCGAGTTATCGTGTGCACAGACGGACGGACGGACAGACAGTCACCGCTTAATCGATTTCTCTTTTCATTCTGATCATTTATGTATACATTTGTCTATATCTATCTCGATTCGTTTTGCCTGTTACAAACAACCGTTATGTGAACAAAGTTATAATACCCTTGTGCACAAGTGCGCTCGGGTATAAAAACCATACAACGTGCAACCAAATAAAAAAATCAAAACTATTATTTATCCGTTAGCATTACAGAACAAAAATTTTAAAATTATAAATGCGTGTGTTTTTTTCTTTGGCGTAGCAACGCACGCCGGGTATTGTTGGTTTACACATATAGTTATTAACCAAATTTAGAAAATGCCGACCAATTTCTAAAAACTTACCTGAAGCTGTTTCAAAATATGAATATGCTTATGAGGTGGAGCAAAATCCTCTTAGGGTCTGACTATCTTTTGGGCATATCATGGTAAAAGTACTAAAATGATTAACGCACAGTATATTTTTCGAATTTAAAGTTTTCGAGTATAAGCGAATCGCTTAAATATTTGAGATGTGTAAAAAATACTAAAATTTGTGTTTTTTTATACATTTTGCAGTGATACTCCACACCACTTGAAAAATAAACGTGTGCAGCATAATCTCACCGACAAAAAAGCGAGTGAAATTCTCGCTAATGCTTTAAATCAAGAAAAGAAAATAGCACAATTGCCTACGGTTCAATCACCAATACAGGAAAATGTGGCTGCCGAGCAAAGTGAACAACAATTGCAACAACAGCAACAACCCTTTGCAGCACCAATTTCACCCATTCCTCCACCAACAGTGCCGGCCCCAATCGCAGCGGGACAAATACCAGATGGTAAGTCGAATTTGGTTACTCTCACTTTTTTCTAGTAGTATTAGATCTTATTTCCACGGCAGCTTCATTCGTAATGTGTTAACCAATTATAAACTTAATCGCTTAATTTGCAAACAGCTTTTTTGGAGCAAATTACTTAATTCTGTAATTCAAATTCGAATACCATGCGAATTACGAGTAAAAGGTTGCTGTCCCTAATTTTAACCGGAAATTTATCGAACTGAGGTGTCAAAGCAAGAGAGAATAGTAAATGTAAAAAAACTAAAACGAAGAAAGAGAGAAGATGAAGAAAAAAAAGATGAACTGTCAAATCGAATTTAGAATGCGCCGTGTAAATGGGTTCGCCAAGTTATTGAGAGAGCGAACAACGTAATTGGCAGTGCACGTGGGATTATGGCGTTATATTAATTTATATTGGAAAACATCTGAGTAATATCCTTATTGCTATGGGGATAAAAAAATGTAAGAAAGAATTTAACTACTAGGTAAGGCAATTTAAGTGTTACCATATACAATTTCCATATTTTGTTTATTTATGAATGAATTTTGTTGAACTAAACAAAAAGGGTTGACAAATGTGTTACATTCCCACGACAGCCGGTTCTACGTACCGTAATGACTCGGGTTTTACCCGACCTAGGGCTGTTGTTTCGGCGATCTAACCCCGTTTAGGTATCTCAGAAGTTTTCCGTCCATAGGGCTACATTCACTACGTATTCTCCTACTCAGGGCTGGCATCGAGTCAAACCCAGGGCCAGAAACCTACACCTGCTGTGTATGCCGGAGACGATTACACCACAACTCCACCTCAGTCAAGTGTAATGCCTGCGAGGGGTGGAGTCACCTCAGAGTCTGCTCGGAACTACGGACACATAGACAGTGGACCACGTCGTACGTGGCCCCCTGTTGCTCAAACAGAGCAGCCTCCACGGCTAACCACAGCCCGCCCGAGCAGCCTCACACACTCACACAGTCACCACAACACAACAACATAATAACACCACAGACCGTACCACAGCCACTACAGACCACATAACACACACAACCGCACCACCACCCACACGCCGCCGCCAACAACTCCTGGTTCCCCCTACAATCTGCACGGTATGTCAGACCAGGATATTCCGTAATGTGACATCAGTCAAGTGCAACACCTGCCTTGGCTGGTGCCACTTTAGGGCATGCTCAGGTCTGCGTACCACGCGAGATTGGACTGGGAACTTCGAGGGCCCGTGTTGCGCTGCTCGGTCGCAGACCCCAATTGCGACGCCCCCCGCCACCACCACAGGGCGGCAATCACCACAGTAGCACACACAGCCAACGGCGGCAAGAACATACACATCACTTACACCCCACATCACGACACGTCTCCCGAACCACATGAAGCTCCTTCAATTTAACTGCAACGGGCTACAGAGCAAGATTGAGGAGATAACCGTCTTCATGTGTCGGCATGGTATATTGATAGCTGCGGTCCAAGAGACGAAGTTGCACAGCAATTCAACTTTGTTGAATTGCGCCGGGTACAACGTGCGCCGTCGAGATCGCGAGCGAGATAATGGTGGTGGCTTAGCGTTCATCACGCACCACACCGTGCAGTATCGTCTAATCGAAGCAGACATCGACCGCAGGGATACCACCGTAGAATGTCAGGGCATCGCTATCCGGTCAGGCGATGTCGAGCTCGAAATATTTAACATATACATACCCCCTGTCACCTGCTGCCCGGCAGGATATGACCCTGATATAGGTACGCTCCTCAGAGGTGAAAACCGTATGGTAGTAGGTGACTTTAATGCGCACCACGATCTTTGGCACTCAAGCCTGTCAAACGATCGTAGGGGAACAGACTTGGCTGAGCAGATAGACGATTCGACATTCTGCACAATAAACGACGACGCACCCACCAGGATTATGGGTAACTGCAGTAGCTCGCCAGACCTCACAATAGTCAGCGCTGGTCTGATAAACAGCATAACATGGCGACCTATGCTGACTCTAGCATCAGACCACCTACCCATAGTCATCTCGATAGATAAACCATCCGACTTTGCCTCCGCCAAACACCGGACCTATATCAACTTTTCTAAAGCTGATTGGAAAGGTTACGCGGAGTTTACCGAAAACATCTTCACAGCGCTCCCCACACCAACCGACGTCCATCTCGGTGAACGTAAGTTCCGCAGGGCTGTCACTGCTGCTGCAACTCGCTTCATACCGGCAGGATGTATATCGGACCCACGTCCAAACTTCCCTGCCGAAGCGGCTGTTCTGGCCGATGAACGTGATAGCCTTCGTCAGGCCGATCCCGGAGATCCCCGTATCAGGGATCTCAACGCGGAGATTCGGCAACTAGTAAACGTACATAAGCGGAAGAAGTGGGAGGAGCATCTGAAGACCTGTAATTTCACCTCTGGTGTGAGCAAGCTTTGGTCAACCGTGAGGTCACTGTCTAATCCGACGAAGCACGACGACAGAGTCGAAATTTCCTTCGGCGACCAAGCCTCGTCGGACCTGGAGCGATGCGCGAGCTATTTTAGCCGGCAGTTCATACTGCATCCTCCGGTGGACAAAGCCAAGCGTCGAGTGACCAGAAGGCTGCACAAACTGCCAACAACCTGTGCCCCCCTTGCTTTCACTTGCGGTGAAGTTCAGGTGGCCATCGGGAAGGCGAAAGCCTCCAAAACCATGGGTCCCGACGGAATATGCATGCTGATGCTGAAAAATTTGGGTCCTGCGGGGGTAGCGTACCTAACGGAGGTCCTCAACTTGTCAATGGCCACTCTCATCATCCCAGATATCTGGAAGGTGGGGAGAGTGGTCCCACTGCTCAAACCGGGGAAACCTGCCAACAAAGGAGATTCCTATCGTCCGATAACACTCCTTTCCCCGGTAGTGAAGACACTCGAGGCCTTGCTACTCCCGTACTTCACAAACCACCTGACCCCAGCGAAGCATCAGCATGGTTTCCGTAAAGTGCACAGTACAACAACAGCACTTAACGCCATAAACACTCAGATAACTCGTGGCCTTAACCGAAACCGTCCCTGTGAGAGAACGATTCTAGTAGCGTTGGACTTGTCAAAGGCGTTTGACACCGTCTGCCATTCCACGCTACTAGAAGATATAGAGGCCTCCTCTCTCCCACAGAGGCTCAAACGGTGGTCGGCAAATTATCTGAGTGGTCGACATTCGTCGGTAATGTTTAGAGACAAAACGAGTAAACAGCGAAAAATAAAACAGGGGGTTCCTCAGGGTGGTGTCCTTTCCCCGCTACTGTTTAACTTTTACATTTCAAAGCTCCCTCAACCACCAGAGGGAGTCTCGATTGTCTCTTATTCCGACGATTGCTCGATCATGGCGACTGGGAATGGAATTGATGACCTGTGTTCGAAAGTAAACGGGTATCTCTCCGAACTTTCTCGCTTCTTCACTGCAAAGTGTCTAGCCCTCTCCCCTACGAAATCCTCCGCGACCCTGTTCACAACCTGGACGAAGGAGGTCAGGCTACCGCTGGGGATTCACGTCGATGACACACCAATTCCGACGGTGAATAACCCCAAAATACTCGGAGTAACATTCGACAGCCTGCTCTCCTTCCCTGCGCACTCAACCGCTATTGTCAATAAAGTACAGAGCCGCAACAAGGTCCTCAAGTCGCTAGCCGGCAGTACTTGGGGCAAAGACAAAGAAACGTTGCTGGCAACATAAAAGGCAATAGGCCGGCCGGTTTTGAACTACGCAGCGCCAGTGTGGTCGCCAGGGACTAGTAGGACGCAGTGGACGAAGCTACAGACTGTACAGAACACCGCACTCAGGACAGCGACAGGATGCCTCTTGATGTCGCCTGAACACCACCTGCACGGCGAGGCGCAAATGCTCCCTGTAAAGGAGCATAATATAATGCTCTGCAAGCAGTTCCTGATCGGGAGCCACAGAAGTGGCCACCCAAGCAGACAGCTGCTTGCAGAGGAGCCCTCGCCTAGGAACGTCAGGAGGCATCTATATGAACTGACGGACGAAGTCCAGAGGTTCATTAAGCAACCTCTGGACCCGACAGCTTACCGACAGGCCCTGAACGGCATTCACAGGGACTCAGTCTCGAGTTATGTGGACTCTAGACCTGTGAATGCCGTTCTAGGCATACCACCCCCGGACATAGACGAGACGGAGCTTCATCTGCCTCGGGAGACACGCACAACACTTGCTCAACTTCGCTCCGGCTACTGCAGCAGGTTGAACTCCTACCTGAGTAGGTTGAATGAGGATGTGCCGAATGAGTGTCCGGCATGCGGAGAGAACCCACATGACTCGAAACATCTCTTCGCATGCCCGGAAAACCCGACAACCCTAACGGCCTTGTCCCTGTGGACAAACCCCACAGAAGCTGCACGCTTCCTAGGGTTGCCGTTAGTGGAACTTGACGACAACGACTGAGATACCAACCGTCCTTGGCGGGGTTGTTGTAGCCGCTACAACAACAACAACAACAAATGTGTTATCTTAAAAACTTTATCAGCGGTCTTCAGTTTAGCCACCCTAGGCCTGACTTATGGCAAATGAAGGCATCCTACGCTGCCTAAAATTGGCCCTGCGATGTATGGCCCATTGCCGGAGAAACGCTTTTTTGAGATGTTCGACACTCTGATATTTTTTAAAAGTCAAATCTACATGCCAGATGGCAGCTGAAAATTTGAACACTCGAACACACCAGAAATCAGACGCCCTCGATAGTGATGGTTGCTTTAACGGCTAATTACGCTCTCCGCACGTGTTTTTTGACCGTGAGGGTAAAATAAATTTACAGGTGCATAGGGAAACTATTTAAGAGGTAGTTCTGGAGCCTTGGATATACAAACATTTTGGTCGCAGACCTTGGATATTCTAACAGGACTCAGCACCGTCACGTAAACCACGCGCCAATCAAGAACACATAGTTCCAAACTTCACTTCGTGGACACAATGGCTTCACTGAGGAAAGAGTCAGGTAAATATACATA